GTTCAGCAGTGACCCATTACCAAGAACTAACTATGGGATTCAACAAATGTAGGTTATAAAGAATGGTGATATTTAACTCAATTTAGATCATGTTTGAGAGTGTGACCTGAAAATAATATTGATAATAAGTTGCACCCCACTATTTAGCATTAAGAAAGAGAGTGAGGGGATAATCTAATGGGGCAATTGTCCAATATAGTTTTTAATTGTTAATTTTTTTATCCCTAATTGCTTCCTTGTTTCAACTAAGGGTGAGCATTTTTTTGTTCGGTTTGGTTTTTACTTATAAAATTAACCAAATTGAATTTTTATTTTTTAATTTAAAATCAAAACCAATTCAAACCAACCATTTTCAGTTTGACAATTAATTAAGAAAAAACAAAAAAAAACCGATATAATTCAGTTTTGTTTCATATGAAGGGCAAGTTGATGCCAACAAAGTAGAGAAGATGGATGATAAATCGATTGGTCTCGATGACAAGAATTTCAGCCATGTACAAGTGCAAAATAATGATACTGACTTTTTCTTTTTAAATGATAAGTGGACCAACTGGATTTCCACCAACTGATAAAAAAACCATAATAACCCTAAAAATTCCATGAAACTAAGACATATAAAAGAAGCACACATCGCTTTTAGGCAAAAATGAATAGAAAAAGTGCACACTCTTTTTATGCAAAAATGTTTTTTCTATCTCTTTATATATTGTTTAGAAATAATAATAGTGAAGTGTTCATCTGTTAGATATAAATAGAGCATGAACGAGGAAAAATTAAAAATTTAGGATTAAATGGTGATGCCTATGTTAGAAGTTTTGGTGATAAATTGTTTAAGACTTGGATTTTGATATGGAGAATTAAAGAACAATGAGAAAATTAGAAACGAAGAGTGGTTTGAGAGGGGCAACTTAAAAAACATTTGAGGGAGAGTGGGGCGGCTAATACTTGAGGTTTGGGAAGTTTAGTTTCAGGGTTTTCTTTTATAGTGAGTTTAAATGTTGATTTAACTAGTTTAGTTCGATCTAGTTCAATCAATTTAAGATTTTAGAAACTAAAACTGAAGCCGAACTAATTTTTTTAAGGCTTTTTAATCAGTTTATCGGATTAATTTTTTGTTGTCTTTTTAATTTAATTAGTTTTTCAATTTTTTTGTTTATTTCTAATTTCAACTTTCAATAATATAAGAACTATTATTGTGATTGTTATCAATTATATATATATATATATATATATATATATATATATATATATATTGACTTAAACTGAATCAAATTCCATAACTGGTATTATAATTGACAGGGCACATGAAGTGAAATTACTTGACTTGTCCTCCTTTTATTTTTTTAAGAAAATAAGATAGCTTTGCATATATCATATAGCTTGAATAAAAGTTTATAATCTATAATTTTTTATTGAATTTATATTTTTAAAATACTTTTTATAAGATATTTTTTTATGTTAAAAATATATTTATTTTAAAATTAAAGAATTCAAATTTTTTTAATTTTTTTTATAAGTATTAGCTATAAACAGTTTTGACTAATTAAAAATACAATATAAACTATTAACTATTTGGACTAAAACAATAAAAGAGATTACTAGTAGCTATTCCCAGACTTGTCAAATTTTTTAGAGATATCACCTGTCAAGTGTTTGGTTCATATCAAGTGTATAATCAAGTCATGTCATT